CGCATAAGTAATTAGTTTACCTCGGCATAATATAAATCATGTGTTGAGTCTGTTATCTCAAGTGGAATCAATTTAACGTCTTCATAAGTAGGTAGACCATTCAAGTGTATTGCATAATGTATCCTATCACCAATACAATCGTATGGAATCCACTCCAAATAGGCATGATTTGGTGAGTTTGTTTGTAGTTGAGATTTCTTAATAAACTCATCGAGTTGGTTATTGTCGCTAGTCCATCCATCGGATAATTGTTTATGCCCGCAAATGCACCACACGGGACTACATCGAAGTATTTTACATGCGGAGCAAAATCCATACCGAGAATAACAATCGTAAAAGCTTTCATCGACAACCATGTAGTAGCTGTCGTCATTCTTGGTAAACCCTTTTATCGAGAAGTTGCGATAATGAAGCCATCTGGAATATCTTCTGAACTGATTAACGTCATTATTGTACCTGTGTGTTGGAAGTGAGTATATTCTGGCAAACTCACTCACAAGTGTCGGTGTACATTCTTCGCTACTTCCAAGTGATAGCAACGTTATCTCCGATTCAATATCATCATCCTTGTGAATAGCGTAGTAGACGTTGTCAATTTGAGTTGGCTTTATGTTGACGATTTCTTTATAAGGAATCCATTTAAGTCTTAAGTATCTATCACTTTCCAAGGAGGATTGAACCAAGTTGTCAAGTGCTGGATTCGTAACAGTCCCTGACGCTAACGACATAGTTTGAATGAGAAGTAATCCGCGGACCTCCCACAGTGCACAATAAGTTAATGTCTAACAGATACAAGATGTTTATGTCGCTACAATTCTAATCCACTAGGACAATGACGACTATTTTTAACGAAAATTAAGTCACGTGAATTAAAAATAAGGAGTCCTTCCCAGCTACTTTTTTATTCTCGACGAGGGCCAATATGAATAAACTCCAAGCACACGAGACCGGAGCTGGTGTTTGTTTGACAGTTGCTGTAAGTTAGAACGTACATTGAATCCGAGATTAGTTGACAAAGATGATTTGTAGTTCCTTTGGCTGTCTGAGTTAAATGAAGACAAACAAACATATTTTCGCTAGATTCATTTCAAATTCTGAGTCCAACAAAGTATTCTCGTAAAGCTGTTATGTGCCCAGCAAATAAGGACTAACAGTTGTCTTCCTATTCTAATATTCACATACAGTGTAATATATTCAATCCAAATTGTACATGTTGGAAGCACGCTTTACTGTCGGGACCGTAGGTAAGCTATTATGCTAGCAAGCATCGTGTTATTATATTGACTAGCATCACAGTATAGCGATAATGAAATAGGAGTAGCTTCTGATTCTTTGAATATTGCTGTTGCATGCGTGACGACTGTATATAGACTGGTTCTCCAACTGTTCCGAGTTCACCAAGGACTTGTTTTATTAATTTCTCCCTTTCTAGCAAATAGAATACATGAATAAGAGTTAATTCTTGATTATCTGGGTTTAGTTCTTTTGGTGAATTACCTCATCGGCCATTATTTCCTCGTTTGTTTCTACCAGGATTTTTGTCTTGATGACAAGATCTCCTGTACAGTACGAAAGAACTATGAATTATCCAGTTTCGCTATCTTCCCCGTTTATTATATACACTTGATTTACGTAACCGAACAGTACAATACTAGTCTGAAAAGTTTTCTCTTCATCGTTCAGCGTCTCAATAGATTTCTTGTACAATCTACGTCAACACAATATCTATCAACATGGGCATTCTGTTGACAATAAACTCCACGTCTAAGCTAACCTTTCGTGCCAAGGACAGTTCAGCTTCCTAAGATCTAAAAGACATCACCAACTACCTGCTCAGCAACTAGATGAGAATAGATCTATACCTAAGGCGGCAGAGTCACCGGCGCTAACGCGGGATCGTATACCAGCAACATTCTCCTGAGAGCAATATGTAGACGAATGATTCACAAACACAGATTCCAAAAGTCTATCAGATTCACCTTGAAAAGAAAAGTTATGTCACGGGGATTGTTTCAGACAGTGGGTGTGTTTATATATAGTGACCATATGATTGTCTGTTACATACTGCCACAATGTCTTCCCTTGGCGCGTTGCGTGAAGAAATTCATGGCTTTGCACAAATAACACTTTCAAAGATTATTCCTTATTGACTCTATATTCTAATAATTGCCCTTATCCTTTTTTACGTTGAATGAATTCAAATCGTTATAAATATCAAACAGATGTGTTTGGACACATTTATTAATGTATAATGAGATGACAGATATTTGGTACTTTGATGTTGGCTCATCACATTCTGATAGACTTGTTGTTGAGAAAGGTTTCAGCGGTCCTGGATGGTAGAAATAAATGGAGAACATCGTGCGCGCATCACATCTGCTGAAATTGCATACAGATTAGTATTCTAGAGAGAATAAGATTATGTTGTAGTTGCATACTTGAAACGACATACGGTTCGGGCACGTTTGAATATACATTGGGATTATATTAATGTTGGATGTTAACACACAAAACTGCGGGCTAATAAGCATAGTCCCTGAACGTGCTACCCATGTTCATCATGTTCATCCGGGAGATGTATTAGTTGCACCTATTAGTTGCTTCACCCGGCAGTACAGGTACGACAACTCAGCTATCCACGTGATATAAGATAATAAGTTTCCAAGACTACACACAGTTCCTAATACTAACAATCGATTTGCTTTTTCCAGTATTACTCTGTATGCTCCCTTTTGTCACCCTCCCCAATCCCCAATCCCCAAACCAATTCATCACACCATACGTCACTAACCAGATTGACGTGGAGTACAAAGGACATTTTGACATCTGACACCAAGCACAACCGAAAATTCTCCTTTTGGTTATTTCTCATCCAAAAGCGAACTTGCTTACCATAGATTCAAACAATGGAGGCTGTCAAATTTATTTGGGGGATCTCTGTACATTTTTGCCTTGATTGGGCTTGTATCTACACTGCCGGAATTCTCCGTACGCCATCTAGTAAATAGCGTTTTTGTTGAAATAGGAAATGCAAAGTCATTACCCCACACACACAGACACTCGCACATTTTTACACACACATGCATATATAGATAGACATACCAAAACTTATTCATGAAACATTACCAAAACCACATTTGTCCGCCATCAGAATTTACCCATTAATCTTTAACAAAACCATACTAATACTAATTAATACAACTGCATAACAAAAGCAAAACGTTTAATAACATGACAAAAGGAAAATAACGCATTCGGTTCAGTGTCACTCCTCGGATTGCAATGTCAGAAACATGTAATAAAATAAAGAATTGTTCGTTAATTAGTGAACAGAGCCTGTATAACACGTTTGATAGCACATCATTAGCACTGTTCATGTCACAAAGTTTAAGCCAAGAAAAAAGATCAAATGCTGTGGATGCTGCGGGATCGGTCAATTTGAAATCGATAGCATCGAATGGTTATACATGATTGCATCATATCATGGTGTACAGTACATGTCCGTAAAAAATATGATAATTTCCTGTCATGATAGTCTTTTAATCTTTGGACCTACTAGTTTTTGGGGGAGTGGTATTTCCCTCTACAAAAGCGTCGAAACATCGAATAAATTTAAGAGTCAGTAAAAGTTGCAACGTTAAAACCCATTGACAATGACTACACGTATAAACACATTCACACGAATTGTATACAGTATATACATATTTAATCTCATATACTTTCCACACTGCTTCGTGCCAAATCAGTTGTCCTTATAAAATTGTGTAATAATCGATACTGCCCAAAGTAAATTTTCTGGGTTGCAATGATTACGATCGGCAAAATTCCGGTAAAAACTTTTTTCCGTAAAAGTATTTGATTACATTTCATTTATTTTCATGTGTTACCCTACACACAATATAACGTACTTCTCCATCGTTCTACCGACAATAATGGAATTGTGGTTAAAAAAAAAAAAAAAGATAAAAGATACAAGCGATTTGACTTGCAAAAGTTTACTGCGTGCTTACTTTGTAAAGAATTTATACAACACGCCTATCTACTCAAGGAGTTGCACACAATGGTAATGATAATGATAATGCAAGCCCCACTTTAGTATTACGGTAACACATCTTGTAATAAAATTTCTCTTACGTCTTTTTGGAATTGTACCCTTCCGTACAAAAGGACAGACCTAAACAAAAACATTCCTATCAAATATATGCAGTGCGATCAAATTAAACTCACCCCGAACGCAATAGAAAATAGGTAGCAATTTCGATATTCATCGGCGTTATGTTCCAACAAATATAAGATTGGGTAGTACGGCCTGTTTACTAGGTTTGTATAATAATAAGAATACATTATTATTACCTTCCCATGAGTATACATCCACGTTTGAAGAGTGAGTCTCCCACCCCTTCCAACTTGATGTAAATCGCCCGCGTATAAAATTTAATAACGTTAGTAGGAATTCGTTAAATGCAGGTTGCTGTGATACCAGTTGTGGCATCAATATAACAAAAGACTAAGCAAAATATATACCATAAATAAGTATATGATGTTTCCTTTTGAAAGCAATTCTATTGTTGTCAAATGTTATAGTTTCCTTTTAAACAATTAAGTATTGATGTCATTGTTGTGTAAAACCGCATTCGTTCCATCAAATGGACATGGCGCATATAGTAGTTCAGGGGTTAGGACGCCACATAACCAAAAAATTATCCGTCCCCTAACAAAGAAAGCTTTCTGGGTTTGGGCGTTAACCCGATCTAGACGAAAGGTAAGAGTAGTAGCATACAAACAGTTTTAACCTGTTATTAAATAATGCGACGGTTTGATTGTTGATCATACTATAACGGTGAAACAACTCTTTTGTTTCCACTTCTGTATTAGACAAAATCGATTGCTTAATACACAGATCAACTCTATCTACACAAAGTTAGAGCAGGAATAACTTGTCTGCCCGATACGTGTAAGGGATCATCATGTGCATTCATTACGATAAATAAACCCATACCGGATATTGTGTGCATCAAGAGATGTGCAGCCACTATTGAAACGAGAGAGCCCACCTCCCAAGGACTGATTCTGTATTGGGTTGTGGAAACAGTCGGTAAGATGTTGATACCCAAATGTTTGAAAATATAATATTTGGTTCATTCAATTTGGACCTGTAAATTCGGACGAATTAACCAGATGGGGACGTTCACCATTTGTATATGAATCTCAGCCGCACCAAAAAGAAAGGGTAAACGCGAAATATAATTTTGTCGAGCATAACTCTATTAACACTTCCGTCAACACTTCCGGGGCGCTCTCACTATACTTCAATTGGTAGTAGCTGTCTACGATCAACTTAACATATATGTGAACTCTGTCCCTGTTTCAAGTCAAATATAGCATCCATGATGCATGCATACATATTACAAGGCAAAAAGGCAAACTTTCCATTAAAAGTCACCATAAAAAGTGTTAGGTCTAGTCACATGATAATATACACTATATTTGAGATTAGAAGTGAAGCTATGAATTATGTGGAAAATGTCAACACGTGATTCAAATCCACTACAAAAACGCTCGCATTTCTTTAATGTGTTGAGAGTCGTGTATCGGCCGTCTCCCTAATTGTTACTCATTGTCCAATAGACAAGCGAATAATAATTTGTTTGGCTCTTACCAGATTTCCATTCTTGGCAACTGCTTGTTCAATACTAAAGAGTGAGGTAAAATGGAAGGGGTTTTTTTGACACAGATGTGGCTCGTGAGAGAAAACTCAAAATATTATACGCTTTTTGAGTTGCTTTTGGAGACGAGTGAAATAACATTGTCAATGCCTGGGTTTGGTCTAGTTCGATGAGTCACATCGCGCAGATGTAATATTCATCAAGTCGAATTCCCAAGACTTGTCTTTTTTTCTCTCTCTCAATGCGCTTGTGGCAACCAGCATCGCTTGACGCATTATCTTTCTGGAAGTTGAAACAATTTCGACGCTTGTCAAGTTGTGGAACCTTGAGTTAAAAAGGTGTTTAGAGGGGGGGGGGGATTAATATAGCAAATATAGCATTCTATTATTCATTCGATTTAGTCGTTACGCAGTATGATCCTGTAACAAATATGTATCGTTATGGTCACTAACTGGTAATCCCGATTAAGCATCTGGAAAGTGTGGAGACTGAGGTACAGGACATATATTAGTATGGTAACGAGGGCATGTACTTAAAAAAGACAAGCAGATCATTAATGTCGTAAAGTACATGATTTTATTATATCACACAGAGAGGACGCGATGAGAGAGGGTGATCGATTACAGAAAAAGAAAAGTGATGATTAAAAAAAATTGGTATGACTCGTTTAGTCGTCTTCCTCCTTCGTCGTCATTGAAGCTGTATTAAAATGGTGTAGCCTCTTTATCTTGGCTGTATTTAGACTGTTCGGATTCGCAACGCAGGTAATCTCAGACAACATGGTTGGATTATCGATGTAATACAGCATAACGTAAATGAAATTATATATATAAATTGTAACAAATTATTTTTATTCATATATATATATATATATTTACTAGCAAATTCTCCAAGAAGTTCACTGAGATGCCTACCCTAAAAAGGGTTTGCTAAGAAGACATAAAAGGGGGAGCAATAATACTAACCGCAACAACGACGACGAACGACGACGACGACAACGACGACAACCGCAACAATATAATAACAACTACCAATATCGATTTCTAAGAAAAAAAATAAAATGAAAAATCCACAGAAATGCGATTATTTTTTCTCTGTCTGACTCGAGAACTGCTGCGGAGGTTTGGTTTGTGCATTCCCATTGGCATTAGTTTGTCCCCAGTGCTGTGTGGTGGGCATGTAATTGCTTTGCGGATACTGGCCAAGGTATGGTTGGCTATGTTGAGGATATTGTGCGGACGACATGTAGTTACCATAGTTAGACGCAAGAGCGCTGGCGTTCATTGGAAGGTTACTTGCGGGAATTCCATATGAATTGCCGTATGGAAGATTCGGTAGGTAGTTTTGGGAAGTTGGAACTTGACTACTTGGAGATTGATGCTGATCATGAAATGGGTGGAAGTAAGCAAAAGTGTGTGTTAACGATTGACGACCGCAGAGAGATGCAGAGATGCAGAGATGCAGAGATGCAGAGATTGCAGAGATACAGAATTCTATTTACCTTACGGTCGTCATTATAGAGGCCATCGCCGCTGTTATCTACCGATGATGTATTATCGCTACCATAAACTGGAGTCTGTTGTTGAGGTCGTGACTAATAATATTATAATGGGCAATGAAACGTACCCATGATAAGTATATTCACATCGAAGCGAACTGGATAAACTTTATTGAATGTATACGTTTAACATACGGTATTTGACGTATCTTGACCTTGCGGCGGATCGGGAGCGTTCAAACACGCCTGGATTAGATTTTTACCCTCAGGTTTTGTTACAAGTGGTTGAAGTTTTGGTGTAGTAAAAGTATATACAAGGCCAGTTTCTGATACTACTAGCAGAAGAACTTGTGTTCCTGTTAATGTACTGAGTTCATATGCCTGAACAAATACGGAATGGAAGAAAGAAAGGGTATGAGGAGAGAAAGGGTATGAGGAGAAGGAGAGGGTGAAGTGAAAGAGTGAGGAGAGTCAGGAGAGTCAGGAGAGTGAGGAAAGTGAGGAAAGTGAGGCAAGTGAGGCAAGGGAGAGAGAAAAAAAAATTTTGTCAGTTATTATCTCGAGTTGATACCATTAACTAACGAGCAGTTGATGATATAATCATCACGGATACAAATTCATGACGACATTGAAATGCTTACAAACCTTCTTCATTATTCCAGCCTTTCGCTTGCTGAAGGTGATATGCCGCCTGCTCTTGTCATCGATGTATTCGATTTTAATTTTTCTTCTCCCTGCGCGTTTTTCAGTCTTTTGGCTACCGGCTTCCTCCTCTTCGGAATCGCCGCCGTCGTCTTCTTCGTGTTCGCGCTTAGTGCCCCTGTTACTGTCTTGTTGAGGCAGGTCTGTTGAATGGGGGCCGGGATTACTCGGTTTTCGTGCAGGCGCAGGGGTATTAGCAAGACTACTCATATTTGGAGATAGATAGGGTCGGATGTAAGACTTGTATGGAAGACCTGAGTATATGGGGAAGGCTATATGCGCGGAGACAGTTAGTAAGTAGTGGGTCTAAAAGAGGAAGCAAGGGAGAGAAAATAGATTGCAAACAACCGAAAAGAGCAAAGGTATATCAAAAGGGGAAAGTTTCAGAGCAGTTGTAGTATGAAGCACTAAATTTCAGGCAAAGTTTTAAAATAGGGTTGGATGAGGTGTACCTTCGGGTAGTGTCGATGAGATAAATATGACCAAAGGTGCGTGCGCTTGTAAGAGTGTGTTATGTGTGATAAAAAAGGTGAAGGCTATTGTTATATAAGCGGAAGCAATATTGAATGTGAGTGGATGGGCAGGATATAAATGGATGTAAGAATATATGTGGAGAAGGGTTGGTATATATAAGGAATAATAGAAAACAATACAACAACCATATAATAAAGAATAAAGAACATACGTTATATAAGGAAGAATAATATAACGTATAAATAATAAATAATAACAAGTGCATATATTATATTATATGATGGGGGGGGCTGGGCTGTTCTGTGATACTGTACCTGGTCTTTTATAGAACGGGTCCTCTGAATTGGTGGGGGGGAGTGATGTATTAAATGGTATTCAGTGGGATCGAATGGGGAAGCCGCAGTGAGTAAAAACCGAAGGTTGAATGTAGCTTGTGTTGGTGTTGCGTTGCGTTGTGTGTTGTGTGTGTTGTGGTTTGGTTACTCTGTTGTTCGGCTATTGATTGATTGATTGATTGTTGTGTTGTTGTGTTGTGTTGTGTTGTGTTGTGTTGTGTAGTGTAGTATGATGATGTTGATGTTATTGTGTGTGTGTGTTGTTGTGTTGTGTGTGTTGTGGTATTGCGTGTTGTTGGTATTGCGTGTTGTTGTTGTTCGTTCCTTCGTTCCTTCCTAGCTATTGTCGTATTTTTTGATATTCCAATATTAAATTATAATGTACTTTTTTCCCGTCCTTCCTATGTCTGCAATGAGTGCAAGAGGTGGAGAAACGTGGTTACAAAGCCATGCATACGTAGAATAGAAACGATTAACAACTCTACAAGGCAGCAGCAATAACGATTTCACTCACCGAGACAATATAATCTTTCCGAGCGACGATTCAAACTATTTCACTTGACAATCTGTTTTCGTCAACAGACAGACTCGTTTCGACAAGCTCTGCAGCAGCGGACAAGTCAACAGTTCTAGGCGTTGGGTCAGTCTTCGAGTGCGTGTATATATGTATGTGCCTCTCAGAGTAGTGTTTTTTCAAGTGAGGAGGGAAATTAAGCTTGAACAAAAAAGGGGCGAAGGAGCAACAAAGTGGACGGAAAAGGATTGCATGGATTTTTATAATCCAAATGAGGCAAATGGGGAGCATCGAAAAAGGGAGGGGACATTTTATGAGGAGATAATGATGTTTGTTTATTATTTATTTTAAATATATTGTATTAAATCTGCATGTACTAATTGTCACCTGTTATTTATTATGTGTGTTCTGTATTAACCATTCGGAGTAGTACCATCAACTATGCCACACTCGTCTCTTATCTATTATTATATTGGAAAATACAGTTAATTTATATTAATCAGTTATTGCCCATATTGGATCTTTACAATCAACAACGCCACAAGAGAGAGAAAGAGAGGGAGGGAGGGAGGATGGGAGGGGATGGAGAAAGGGAGGGAGAGAATTAGTAGATAGAGAGGGCAATTAGTAGGGTTAGGAACTAGATGATATACACATATTATACACATATATACTATACACATAAATATACACATATATACTATACATACATACTATACTACTCACACATAACATATACATATACTCATACCACAGACATATCCAGACCATGCATGTTTTATTGCTAATGTTTTATAATAAACGCATTCTATTATTAGTAGCATATTACGCCATATTTACACACTACTATGGAAACTACATTTGAATACACTCTTATCAGCTTGTAATCTGTTCGTCGGTGATGGCGGTGGTCACGGAAACTCTAACGGATGTCGGGCTTGCCGATCAATGCCACTAACACACGAATAAATAACAGTCACCAATAACATGTAAACGAATATCCGTCTGGCGTGTGAGAAAAACACACGAGAAAAATTATATTTGTTGATTGACATCTGATAGGATTTGGGGGAAAAGAATTTCTAAAAGAATCTCCTTGGATATTCTCAAATGTATAGTGCCCTCTCGTACGCTTTAAATTATAGAGAGAATTGAGACGGAGTAGTAAAAATAACAACGTTAAATATTGGGGCAAGGAGGGATAAAACCGAAAGTCTTAAACTGTTGTACATGCGCTATACAGCAAGCAAATATATTTATTTATTGTAGTCTCGTTTTGATAGACATGGCATTAATCATAAGATTATACAATTCACGTTGTATAACAACATGAACGTTAGGGTTGTGCTGTATTGTATTGTGTGTGTGTGTGTGTGTGTTGTGTGTGTGCTGTGTTGTGTGTATGTATGGTATGTTAAACACTTCAAATGCTCCCATTCTCGGCAAATCCTATAGCTTACTGCCATACATAGTCAAGAAGCGACTGTTCCTGCAAATTATCGAGATCTATTGGCTGATCTTCAAACATCGAGGTTACTCTAAACTATCCCATCGAAAAATGTCCCAAGCCACTATAATGAGGAATAAGCGAGTGGGTGAGCCGAGCGAGTTGAGAGTGAGAACGAACGAACGAGTGTGTGTGTGAGTGAGTGAATGTGAGTGAGTGAGTGGGTGAGTGAGTGAGTGAGTGGGTGAGTGAATGTGAACACTGCTGATATTGAAACAATATAATAAACAAACAAGTTGACCAAATGATCATTTTTTCATTTATAGTTGACATTTAGTTACTCTTATTAGAAATGCACCAAACAATCTTCATTATGCATAATTAAATAGCATCAGAAATTGCGAGCATAACCAATTGTAACCAATTACATACATTCTAACATTCAGTCTCGCATACAACACATCATCACACGTCGACGAGAACAAGAGAAAAAAGATAACAATGACAACATATGCACGATAGCGACACGCAATACAAGTGACACTTCCACTGCAGAAATCCCTTTTGCCCTACTCAAGGCTCATTTTGGAACTATTCATCGGTTTACCCATAATGCGCCAATAAACCTAGTGTTCAAATATCTTGAAATAATCTTGTAAGACAGCAGACAAACAAAGAAAATGAAATAGCATTTATTAGTCTATAATGTATATAATTATTATGTGCATAGTCTCTCTCTCTCCCCCCATCCTCTCCCCATCCTCTCCCCATCCTCGTTTAAACTGTTCTTATTACTAATAATCCTTTCTCTCATAAATAAAAAAGTATAAAATAATGTGAGCGTGTTACGTTGCACAAATTAAAGTGGTGTGATTGTGAGTGTGGGAGAGAGAGGAGTAGAGAGGAGAAACTGGTTTGGGTTTAGAGAGAAAGAGAGAGAGGAGAAACAATGTCTTGTATTGAGCACGCATATCGTACATTTGTTTTAGAGTATGGTTAGACTGTCGGTAGAATTAGAACATGCTCGTACGTAACATATAATTGGGGAAAACAAAAAGTTAATAATGACGATTGCTAACAATAGCAATTGATGTTAATAGAGGTAACCATATTCTCCGATAAATGCTCAACGTCTTGATTCGATTGATAAGGCAGACATACGGTCAGACAGTCGGACAAGTGTGTATCTAGTCTGCCTTGAGTCGAGTTACCAATAAATATACTATTTTTTTTTTTCAACTCTTTAACCCCCCCCTCGCCTCACCTCCTCACCCCAATAAATTTGCGAGCCTCGCCCGATGTCACTTTGATTAGTCATATTTGTACATACAACTTCCAAATCAGACGTACCACCTGTGTACAAATACGCCAAATCTTGTTCATTTCAGGATGAAAATTCCGTATTCGTTATCGCTGGTGCTCCTTGCTACAATCCGAAACAGGTAGCTTCACTCCTGAACAAAGGATGTCACAATGTAATACGAGGATGTACAATGAATCACAATCAGCACAAGGAAGTATAAAGTAACACAACGGATGAAGCGTAAGAAGTTGATGTGATGAAGAGAAAAAAAAAAAAAAAGAGAAGAAAAAAAAAAAAAAAAAGTCCTCCGATCCTTGTCTTCTTCTGTTAGTGTATAATAATGGCCGATATATTGGTTTACTATATATTCAGTGTATGACATGCATACTAATGTATCAGGTTTACACAATACGTTAGTTAAGAAATCGGAACTCAGACTCCGATGTGAATTACCGAAGCGAACTCCGAAATGAGGAATATAATAAAATCAAATATACTTTCATATATTTGAAAACCGACTGTTTATCAGTGATAAATATAGTTATTAATGCCTGATATGTCATATTGCATATGTATTTATTGAGATGACGATAATTGCATCACCTGACAATCATAAAAAAAAGTATTGTCAAATAGGGGGAGAGGGGGGACTGGAATAGGACTGTGAATGGTTGGTTAGGTGGATGATGAATAAATGATTGACAGACTGCTTGCTACCTACAACGGCTATTAGTGTCAAATACTCTAATTTGGAGTACCAATAGACCTTCCCCCATTCATTTCATTCATTCGCTCATCCCGTGATGACATACTAATGTTCTTCCAGTCCAGACCATTGATTCTACAAACCATGAAGCGTCGATTTTCACGCGCATTCTGCACATCTTATACGATCTCACCATAGCATGCACTCCACAATGTAGCTTCGTAATAACCTTGGAATCACCACTGTCCAATTCCAGAACCATATGTCAATCGGCGCTTGCTTTCTACATTTTTACTAATCCGCGGGCTATATTCCAAGAAAAGACGAATTCCTTACAACACCACGACTAGTATAACTAGTATAACTACTATAACTACCACCACCACCACCGTCACAGACTACGACTAACTACTTTTCTATTATTAACCACACCTAAAAATATATTGGACCTGGTCAATGGATCCAACCGGATGGAAATTTCGCATTTCCGAGTAATTGATGAGAAGGTCAATTGAGCAACAATGGATGGGCAGATATAAGAGGCAATGATTGAACTGTCAAAAGTTGAATGTTAATTCCGTTAATAGAACTGATTGATGACTTGAGAGTTTCAGGTGTAATTTTCACATTTCAATTGAATTGGCATATATTGCTTAATCAAATGAATGCAAGAAAACGTTGTTTGTCTGTTGTTGCTCCCTCCTGATTTTGATATAAATGACCGTCCGATACATAAATTATTGCCATTATTCAAATCATATGCATATGCAGATTACTATTGAATATGAGTTATTAGAATGGGAATAAACGGGGTGTGAAGGGGGGAAAAAGTAAGTATCACAGATTGTTAGATTATATATTATATGTTGTATTGTATTATTGTATTGTATTGTATTGTATACGTTATCTTAAATATATGGAATAATACGTATTACAATAATCACATATATATTGTCATTATGTTTTATTTATATGAGTTCCTAGAATAAAATAAAAGAGAAAAAAAGAGGGTCACTGGGTCACTGGTCACTGGGTCACTCGCGAACGTACCCTCCTTTTAATCGCAACAGCCCTGTTACGAATAATAAAAAAAGAACATCGGCCATCATGAAATCCCTTCAACACCATATACAAATCCAGACATGACGCCACAGAACCGATTTCAGGGGGTGTAAAAGAACTAGTATTGGCAAAAGAAGCCAAGAAAGAGCTTTTGAGCGAATAATCAATCCGGTAATCTGATAGACAAGCTATATAATTGCCTTTGCGCAAAGCAAAACATCGATGATAAGAATGGTCAATTACAGCAGGCGCATCACAAATATTCATTTTGGTTGCGTCTCTTCCAAATAAGGATGTTTATCTTTGTCGACTAACATGGTAGCTCGTTTCTTGGAATCCGAGAGTAAACCCGAGAGTAATATCCCGAGAGGCAATAATTGCAAAAGATACCTTTATCAAAATACAACTCTTTTGTCTATAACTTCAAACTGTCGTGTATGGTTTACGTCTTTTACTGGAGCAATTCTCAATGCCAATTCAAAACGAAAATGTGAAATGGCGAACTATACATAATCTAATTGTCATGTAACTAACATTCGACCTTATTGGGATAAAGTTTTACAATGTGCTAAATATTGGATTGCCTCTATATATAGTAAATACGAATCTAATTTACATTAAATCTCCTACGGAACCCAAAAATTACAGCACTATCAATGTTAGGCACAAGGCGAAAAGGTTTGCTTTATATATCAGGAATATCTATATATAAAGAGAAGAGCATTATGAAATTTACCAAGTGGGAGGAGGCTATAACATTTCGAAACAAAAGACAGAGATCTCCGAAGAAAAAACCTAACTTACTATCTGTTTTGTGAAATCCGTATTATTATTCCACTCATCCATAGTTCAAGAAGTTCTCTTTTACGATTGACTTTTTTTGCTAAAGCTATTATAGAATGTTAATTGATCATCTAGTTGGTAATATCTCCTCTCCTTTCTATACAATTATGGACACGAATAAGGTAAACTAGAAGAAATTTTTACTTTTCTATGACTAAACAATGTTTTGATTGCTACAGCACAAACGAAGGGTTTAACAATTACAGTGTATTGCAAAAAAAAAAATGAGAATGAAAATTTTCGCTGTTGTGAATGAACGAAATTTCTTGAATATAAAGGCTTGTTTGGAAGCTAGAAAGCAACAGATTTTTAGAACAGTATCTGGAATATTCTCCCACTCTTTCATCATAAACGTCTCTAATTCGCTGATGTTTTTCGGCATGCGCTTCTCCACTCTGGTTTTTACAATGTTCCAGAGGTTCTCAATTCCGGACTATTGGATGTCCAATCCATTTTTTTCTGAAAAAAACGCCTTAGCGAACGGCTGGTGTGCTTGGGATTGAAGCGCCAATTTTTTTTTCTCAAGAAATCGCTGCACTTCTGGCATGTGGTTCCGGAGGATTTCGACATAAAACTCACCATCCATGATCCGCCGGAAGCAGAACAAGGATGATTTGCCTTTCACACAAAACCCTTCCCATGCCATAATTTTTGTTTGGTCTTTTGGCATAGGGCGAACTGGTCGCCACCGTTCCACCGTGTTTCAAATGCCGTCTCATCAGTAAAGTTTTTTTTCCAATTGTCGTTTAGATGGTCACGAGCCCACTCCACACGCTTTGGGAGACTTTTCGAGTATCCAAGGCACGCGAGGTGTCTTGAAATTGTGGAGTGGTGGATCTGCATACCCTTCGTTTCCAATTTTGTCGCCAAACTTCTGGTAGGAATTGAACAATTTCCGCGAATAATAGTCCGCGAAGCCTCAGCGATAATCTTTCACTTCCTTCAGCGCGCTCGATTGTTCCTTTTTTTATGTGGTGCGAGTGGGATGTTCGTGCGCGCATGCAATTCCTTGCAATTCCTCGTCCCATAAAAATGTATTATCACTTGCCGCTGTCTTGCTTCGAAACGGACATCACGAGTTGGCTAACTCAAAGAGCGTACAATACGTGAACGCCGCCCAAATCTACTCTTGATAATCGCGATCATTTCCTATTTTTACACTTTTTAGTTCTGATACATCTAGATCGAGATACAGACATAAAAATTATTTCACGTTCTCATTTTTTTTGCAACACACTGTAATTAATGATTAAGAAGAAAGAAAAATCATTAAATTTTGTTGCTGAAATTGTGTTCAAAATCTGGTTCGTATTCAAAAGAGTTAAATATTGTATATGTGCAAATTGAGAAATAATCTTTCGAGAAGTTTAAAAATAAAGGAAGTTGATTGGCCTTGTAGAGGTAAAGAAGCTAAAGAAGCATGTTTAATAAAAATTACTACTATTTGTCCATTGGAATGTTAGTGCAAACACCATGTGTGCTGTGATGCAAAAAGAAAGGTGAGCAAGACAAGCACTTTATCTAAAATAAAAATAATACCGCAAATTACGTTTGCAAAAATTCAGCAGATACAGAAGCTTGTCTTGGTTATGACTTTGCAAAAAGAATATGTATAACTGTTAGAAAAAAAATTATATTGTATAGACTTAGGAGAAAGTTTGTTTGTTAATATCCGCACCAATGGTAAAGTTGAATGCGTGATTATCAAGCAAAGAGCATATTAGAGACATACGTAGCATTCTATT